GATATGTGCGAGGTATCTGTGGAGAAAAGATTGGATTCCTTCGAAGCACGACGCTACTCTCCCGACCCACCTTCCATAGTGGCGTTACTCAAGAATGCAGACACCCTATACGCACAGTACATTGTGATTTGAAAACCAATCTGACTGTAAGGATCACTCCAAAAAAAACTTCAGGATAGTTTGGCTTCTATTTCAATGTTAGAGAGTGACCGAGCTCTCCGTTTCCAAGTAACTCCAACCAATTTGAGCTTTACTAAAAGTCTGATTTCTACATGATCAACAGATGCATGTGCACATGGAACAGGCAATGAGAGAAGATGGAACTGGACCCAACCTTAAATCAACATTCCGCATCAGGTCGCAGGTACTGAAATTATTAACGTAGAGTTTCGAGTGAATCAACGATGAGATGAGATGATTGTCTCGATTTCATGTAACATCAAATCGAGGAAGATATATTTTTGGGGAACCACGTGACGTGAGTCTCTCAACATCGCCCTTCCTTCCTTTTACCAGGTATTCGGTTTCACGTTATGCCCTCCTCCTTCTCTCTCTTAAGTTTCTGGGTCGCAGTGGAACTACATAGTAATTTTTCAGCATGACAAAAACACAACATCCGGATAGTGGGGGCCGATATCATATTTTGGAGTTACTAGGCTCTCCCAGTGGAACAGCAACTGTGATGATGTTCAACGGCCGATCCGTTACTCCCGCTTATCCTGGGGTAACCCGCAAAGATCCTGTAGAAACACATGCAACATGACAGAAATGGGTTTTTTGGTCTCATCTTTACATACATGCTACTGCACTCTCGTCTGATTACGTATGCAAATACGATGTCTACTCGCCTACTGACAGGCTATAGTGATTGTATTGATATCTCCACTTTTCGAAAATCCCTGTTGAATATGTAGGGCAGGTACGAGGGGGATCACTGCTAAGTCTTATCTTGATATAGTAAGATCATGGGAAGATAGTGATGTTCTCTTTCCTCATCACCAACTTTCCTCAGAACACCACCCTCTTCGTCATCGTGTTAAAGCATCGGTCCTGAAAGATGAGTATCACGCGATCTCATACCACAAGTAGACCTAGCAATGAGCATAGTACCAGTTCGAGTTACCTTGAGACTCCGTGTCTGTCAGGCGAAATTTCCCTAATACACCATACTTGCAAATTCAGTTTCTTACAACTTCCTCCAATCACCTCACCGTCAGTTCAGCTATCATTAGTTGCAGTCATTTGTCTACTATGTCCTGGTATGTTCAATGCTCTCAATGGGCTTGGCGGAGCTGGGTTGGTGGCCCCTGGCCCGGCAAATGAGTCGAATATCGCACTTTACGCTTGTTTTGCAGTTGTAGGGTTCTTCGCCGGCTTCATCGTCAATATAATTGGACTCAAGGCATCGCTATTCGTTGGTGGTATATCATATGCGGTTTACGCCGGTAGCTTTCTCGCTTATAAACACATCGAAAATCGAGGCTTTTTGATCTTTGGAGGAGCGTTTTTAGGGGTATGCGCAGGGCCCTTCTGGGCATCGCAAGGGGCTATGTTAATATCTTATCCCTCCGATGACCAGAAAGGGCGCTCTACCTCTTGGTTCTGGGCTATCTATAATAGCGGTGCTGCAATAGGAAGTCTTGTGAGTAACTTTATTCTCCAGTCAAGGCAATCTGACAGTTTGTGCAAAGGTTACTCTTTGTCAAGAGCTTCAAACAAGCACCGGCAATGTTGCTTCCGACAATACATACATTACTATCATTGCTTTAATGTTCGCTGGGGCGATGTTGTCTCTTTGTCTGTGCCAACCCAAGAATGTCAAAAGGAAGGATGGATCTCGCGTTCACATCACAGTGACAGTGAAAACAGACTGGCGAAACGAAGTAATGTATTTTTGCAAATTGGTTCGCAAAGACTATTTCATTGTTCTATTATTTCCCATGTTTCTCACTTCGAATTGGTGTTATCCATATCAATTCAACACATTCAACCTTAAAACATTCAATATCCGCACCAGAGCTCTGAATAACTTTCTATATTGGCTATCAGAGATTCTAGGTGCGCTACTTGTGGGCCATACCTTGGATAACGATCGCCTGAGCCGGTCTGTCCGGGCAAAAGGACTTGTTACTGGACTTGTACTTCTAACATTTGGAATCTGGACAGGTGGATACATGTGGCAAAAAGGGCATTATCATCAAACAGATATTGTCGCCGAGGATCAAAAAATGGACTTTGATGATGCACATTATCTTGGACCGATGTTTTTGTACGTAGCTTATGGAATTTTCAATGCTATATGGCAAAACTGTGTGTATTGGTGAGTCATCAGTTGGTATTTGATGATATGTTCCAGCTGACATATTTTAGGATCTTGGGGAAATTTACGAGCGACACTCGAACGGCATCGATCTACATCGGTTTCTACAAAGGTATCCAGTCTGCGGGTGGTGCTATCAGTTACCGCATAAACAATTCAAACATTTCTGCGATGAACGAATTTTTGATTTGCTGGATCCTTCTTGCTGTTTCACTTGTTGTCGCAGCGCCGGTCATCATTTACAAAATACGAAACGAGACAGACGAGGAAGATACCGCTGGAGAAGAAACAGCTACAGAAACAGGACCTGCGGGGATTGATGAAGAAAAAGCAAAATCTGTAAATAATTCAACTCGAAGAGCGGAAGGGAAGCTCCTAGAGGAAAGTTTGAAGACATCACCAGTGTGATCAATAAATTTTTGCATATTGGACCATATTTTGGGATTATGGCAGCCATTTGGAAGGACTCTTAGATTTGGTAGATATTCTTGTCAAAATGCACATGTCAAAACCACACCTGCCAAAAACGCAGTCCAGGTAACGTGGTACCATGCTCATGTCTTCTGCAACAGCGTTCTCACGACGTGTCACACGTCGTGTCACCTGCAACACCATCTCGGTCGCTCCTAACCGTGAAACATTTCCTATGAGAATATCGAGGCCCATTTTTGAAAACATTTTCGGGAGCATGCAACTTGCAGCAAAGAGTGGGAGCGTGTGTGACGGGCCGCACTACTGGATGAAGCGGGAAGCCGACGGCCTTATCATGCTTCATTCTTTGCCGACCGCGAGGGAAGCAATTTTTTGTGAGATCAATGGGAAGAATATTCATGTACCAAAAGCTTAATCTCGTGTGGGTGGGTGGGTGTGCGACCACGCATTGATTTTTGGATAAGGATAAGCCAAGATCCTCAAGCTGATGCAAAGAGCCTCCATGCATATAGATAGTTTATGCTGTGTTTGGGGGCCATTTCAAGATTTCATTTTGAACTTATAGTACCTGGTAATACCAATGTAGATGACCGTAGGGCCCTCAGGACACTAAATCCTGTTTCCAAAGTGCTGAAGTCCCAACTAAGATGTTGGCGCAGCACCGGGCATTCCTTCGCGATGCCTAATGTACCAATTATTCGACTGGTAGCTAAGTACTCCCCTTGGCTCGGAGAATTATAGTCACGGCTTGGATACGGAGTCTTGCATCGAGGATAAACAGAATTGAATTCGACTTTCATTTCCAGCGAATTCACAACAGGAATACGTACGGAAAAGTGCATTTCTTCGAAGTAAGATCATACCGATTAAAATTTGACGATGACGACAAACAATTTTGAATATTTTCATTGCTGCTCTTTGGCCCAGGCGACCAGACAAAGGTAAAACCCAACGAGCTGGAATTTCTCACTCCTCCCATCGGCCGAGTGCAAAAGTCCGATGCAAAATGGGGATGGAGGCAGCGGGCTTCTTGAGGAAAGTTCTATTGCTCCGGCGCATTCTCATCCAAATAGTTGGGAATATACATAAAATACCATATGTTTGTTAAAAAAGTCGATGATGGAACCTAAATTCAACGACTAGTACCCTTATCAACCTGCCAGAAAAAGACAACATAGATGTGACACTAGGGCTTGATACTGTACACATACATTCCTTGCAAGGGCAAATCTTATAATCAGACCAATGAAAAGGCCCTTCAAATACACATTGGTCTACAGATCTTCGTTTCAAACAAAATTCCGCGGTTCACATCGCTATTTCTTAGTTTGACTTCAGAAGATTGAGAAGTATAACAAAATATTTTCGAGTGTTACTTCTTTGTGCCTAGCAGAATCCAGTGCACACGAATAGTTTCCTTAAAATATATGTACTGGTTGTATGTTTAAGATTCAATAGAGCCATTCGTGACTTGTAGGTATATGAGTTGATTGAAAGGATAAAGTGGTGATGCGAAATTGACTGGTCAATTTTGAAATATTGAGCTATTCTCTTAATGCTCCAGACGGCGCAGAATACCAGTGAATGTCAATCGCGATTCGTGAGATCTATAAAATATTCTCTTTTGTGCTAGAGCTAATCTGATAGTATTCGTAAGACTGGGAAGGTGATTGTTCTCCAATCATTCGCTTTGAGAAATTTGCACATGCAAATTTGAAATAATGGTCAGCATCCGTTATCGAAGTAAGTTCTATAATCTGAAGACTTCGCATAGTCTGCTAAGTCTTAGCTTCAAATCAATTATGACAAAAAAGCTGTTGACCTATTGTGTGGTGAAAAATACCTCGCTTCCTCACACGTCTCGTTTCTAGGTGCATCTTCTTAGAAAAATATCTTACGTCTCTTCAAAAGATTGTATTCAAAAGTTTATTTTTGCAAAATAAAAGGAAGTACAACAAGTGTAAAGCTAAAACTGAACAAGAGAAGCATGCTTGATTATCGAATTTTACAGACAGAATCGTATTCGCCGCGAAAAAAGGAGAGCTACATCAGGTTTCTACAAATCAGAATGGTTGTTGGAGCAGAGAACGTGAGATCAAGATGTCTCAAAAGTCTTGGAATTAATAAACAAAATGGCAACGTGGAGATATCAAACCCCATTTCTATCGTGGCTTGGAGATCTCAGCCCAATGAGGCAAATGCATTGGATTTTGATATCTTGCAAATTGCTCACATCTTTCTGCAAAGGTTATTTCAACGGTTGCTTCTTAGCATACCGTCTCTTTCCCAAAACACTATCAGGGAAAACCCCGCCCATCGGATTCGACGGTGTCCAATTGCCTGCTTCCTTAGTATCTAAACTAACAAACGCAGCATTCCGACTTTGCTGTGCAGCCTGCCATATCTCATCCACACCCACCTTATCTGCTTTCATCGACCTTAACTCATAGAAACTATACACCAATTGGTCCAGCCTCACCCACGTGTGCAAGTTTTCCCGGCACAGGATAGTCAACTTCAAAGGCACGGATCCGCATACTTTCGATGGATCTGCCGGGTTCAAGAACCGAGGCCATGCATATGCGATCAAAGACTAGAAAGGTATTCGTATTGACACCCGAAGAAGCAAGTCCGTCCTTCTGGTGTTCAAACCGACGTTGTCCGCCGAATAAGATTCTGGGTGCGACATCCGCTCTCTGCTCATACTAAAGGGGATCCTGCAGGATCTCGCGAAAGGCGCTTCTGAGTATCACACCATTCTGTTGACTGCTTTTATCACTTGCATCTAAAGCAGTCCCAGCCACAGACACGTGTGGTAAAACCGCAGAGCCCGGCGCATTAAATGAAATCATGTACCATTTTGCATCAATTATGTCCTTCGAGCCATTGTACTTCAACGCAAATTTGACGAACCCCCTCTCCCCCCAATGACACAGAAAATATTCCAGAGGTTCTGCATCCAGGTCCTGCATCGCCTCATCACACAGAACCACAAACCCCACAAATCCTTCCCCTCTCTATAGAGACGGCGAATCCATTCCGGAGCATCGGGCAGGGCGGCCTCGGCCATGGCACTGGCTTGCAATTTTCTTGCGCGGGTGGGCCGGTCACACCACTCTCTGGATCCGGCTTGAAACGCTTCTAGCTCGTTGGGAAGAAAAGTGGGGTTTCTAGATGCTTCAAATGCTGCTCCTTCTTCTCCCATGATTATTTCTTCCGTTTCACAAAGGAGTTCCCAGATCACCTCGCGCTCCGCATCTGCCCTAGGCGTCCAGAACCTGGCTGATAGCAGTAGTATTTCTTCTTGCGTGAGGCTGCTCGGATCCGTAACAGCTTGCTCCAAATCCGCATCAGGAAGATCGAGAAATACGCGCCGTTCTTTATCCGTCAGAGCGGAGGGACGTGAAAGGCTATTTTCCTTCAATGATGGATAGGCTGCAATAAGCTTTACAAGAGTATTATGGTTTCTTAGTACTCTCATGTAGCTGCCCATAGAGGCTTCGAGGATGGTCTTTTCAGATTTAGATGCCATAGTTATGCCGTGCTCTCAAAAATGCTCCGGTGATTTGATACCTATAATATGGCGCCATAGCAAAACCACGATGAATATCGGTATTTCAGAATAGAAATCATTTTGTCGGTATTTTTGTTGACCATTTTTGGAATACCGATTAGGCACCCTTGAGTGTTTGTTCGTTGGTTGTTGGTAGGTAGATATTCACAAGTATCTGATAAATAACTCAACCCTCGAAATCCCTCATTTTGCACTACGTTAATTTCACTCTATTGCACTGAAATCAGAATATTGGCTTTAGAAATTGTCCACGTAACGAAATTGAATCACAAAGCTTGATATTTATCTCGATGTTGAAGTCTTTTGATTGAAAGAGAAACTGCGATTAAATGCAATTAAAGCGAGTTTTGTACGGCAAGCCAAACCACCAAAATATCGCTTCAGTGTAACCTTATATTGTCACGTGTTGACGTGATTTTGCTTTCCCCAATCAGCAACTGCGATAAGGAACGCGATTTGGCCATTTCGATAATCGCGACAGCTTTCTCATGGCTCCAACCAACACACCAAGGAAACACATCAAACTAGACAGAGATGTCGGATGATGAATATGGAGATATCGACGAAGATGTTTGGGATGTAGCCGAAGCATTGACTCAAGCGTCGCAAACTCTACCATCCAATTCCCCTCACCGCAGAAAACGAAGGCGAATCAGCTCAGGCCAAGAGCTCGACGATTACAATGATGATGATTTCTCAATCCAGCAACGACGTCGATCGCGAGGCTCTACATCTAGCGACCATGATGAAGGAGACGGGAAAAAGCAGTCGAAATACAGGATACATCTTGGCGCAGAAGAAGTACCGGCAGCAGTCATCATGGGGGCGACACAAGCTGATGGAATGCCTGATTCGAGTCCTTATAGAATTAGAGGACCTATATATAAAAGGCCGAGACCACTCCCATCACCAGAATTAGAGCCTAAGCCCGCACCAACATTGGCTTCTGTGTTCCGGCCTACCAAAGCCCAGAAACAGAATATTGTTCCCCAGCCCGCGCCAGCCGTCGCCTATGATTTCTCCAAAGAGCTCGAGGATTTACCATCCGATGCTTTCTCTCCAAGCCCGCCACAACAAAATATATCAACTGGTTTGATTACGATAAACTCATCGCCGCCATTCGAATCTACACAATCAGTTCGTTCTCAGCGACTGGTCGCACCACAGAATGGCCTTCGCCAAACTACACTCTTTGGTGGACGTGCTCCAAACCAGGCGCCATCTTCCACTCAAGCTAAAAAAGTGCATAATTATTTGGTAGATAAGGTACCAGAGCCACCGACGCATCATTTTCTGGACCGAGAGGCTATCAAAACATGGGTGTATCCAAACAACCTAGGTCCAGAACGGCGATATCAATACACCATCGTACATAAGGGACTTTTTAATAATCTCTTGGTAGCTTTACCAACAGGTCTCGGGAAGACATTTATCGCAGCGACCATCATGCTCAACTTCTTCCGGTGGACGAAAGATTCACAAATAGTCTTTATGGCGCCAACCAAACCTCTGGTGTCTCAGCAAGTTAAAGCTTGCTTCGAGATTGCGGGCATACCGAGATCATCAACGACTATGCTGACAGGAGATCAGACCCCAGCTTTGAGAGCTGAAGAATGGGATGAAAAGAGAGTGTTTTTCATGACGCCACAGACTGTCGAAAATGATTTGAAAACTGGTATAGCTGACCCTAAGAGGATCGCGCTTCTGGTTGTTGACGAAGCACATCGAGCAACCGGCAAATACGCATATACTAAAGTTGTCGAGTTTCTACGAAGATTCAATAAGAGTTTCCGTGTTCTTGCTCTGACAGCCACCCCTGGATCAACCGTGGAAGCAGTTCAGGAGGTAATCGATAATTTGGAGATTGCTGAGGTTGAAATTCGAACAGAAGAGTCTATTGACATTAAGGAGTACGTTCATCGGCGAGATATCACTGAGATTCTCATAGATCCTTCCGATGAAATCATTATGATTAGAGACCTCTTTAGCAAGGCGCTTCAGCCGCTTGTCAATTTGTTATGTTCGCAGAAAGCCTATTACAATAAGGATCCTATGTCACTCACTCAGTTTGGCATGCTAACAGCTAGAAAGGCGTGGATGGCATCTGGTGCAGGTAAGACTGCAAATATGGGCGTCAAAGGAATGATGAATGCCTTGTTCACTGTGTTGACGAGTATGGGGCATGCAATCAAAATTCTCAACTTCCATGGAATCGGGCCGTTCTTTTCGAATATCAAGGACTTCCGAGCAGAGGTCGAGGGAAACAAAAAGGGTGGGAAATATAAAAACCAAGTCGTTAATGATCCAGACTTTAAAAAGATGATGGACAGGATTCAAAGTTGGATTAATAAGGAAGACTTTATTGGTCACCCAAAGCTCACTCATCTGTGCGATACAGTGCTGAATCACTTCCTTGACGCGGGGGCTGGGTTGACGGGTGACAATGTGCCACCTTCAAGTACTCGAGTAATTGTCTTCACCGAATACCGTGATAGTGCTGAAGATATAGCACGAGTACTCAACAAACATGGTCCAATGATCAAAGCATCTGTCTTTGTGGGCCAAAGCGACTCGAAGCGCTCAGAAGGTATGAATCAGGAGAAACAGCTTGAGACTATTAGAAAATTCAAAGCAGGGGGCATAAATGTTATAGTTGCAACCAGTATCGGTGAAGAGGGTTTAGATATTGGAGAAGTTGACCTGATCGTCTGTTATGACTCTTCCTCATCCCCTATTAGGATGCTGCAGCGAATGGGACGTACAGGAAGAAAGAGAGCTGGTAAGATTGTTCTCCTTCTCATGCGCGGGAAGGAGGAAGATTCATACAAGAAGTCGAAGGACAATTATGAGCAGATGCAAAGAATGATTAGTTCTGGTTCTCGCTTCACTTTTCGCCACGATTTATCTGCTCGTATCATTCCGAGAGACATTAAGCCTGAGGTTGAAAAACGGTTTATTGAAATTCCTCCGGAGAATACCCAAGATCCATCTTTGCCGGAACCGAAACGGCGTGCCAAAGCCAAGAAGAAGCCTGCCAAAAAATTCCATATGCCTGATGGTGTTGAAACGGGTTTTCGTAACGCCTCAAAACTCAATGGCAGTGTTGCGGGTTCCACTTCAGCAATTTTCCGCATCAAACGAAAGCCTAGTGAGCTGGATGATGATGAGCTAGCGCCAGTGCCCTTACTCGACTCCGTGTTACTAAGCGAGAGGGATATGGCAGAGCTTGATCGCCGGTTTTTAAGAGTGCCAGATGGTGCTTTGGAAGAGGTCGAGATGCCCGATTTGACAGCTCAGCCTAGCACACAACGATCTCTAACCATGACAGCTAAGGTTTCACACGGAAAATACACCAGAAAATGCGTTGATCTATTCAGCAAGCTTTCGAGATCCCAAGCACCTGAGAACCGTGATATCAAACCATATGGAGATAAAGCACCATCTGACCTCGGTAAAATGCCAACGATGCCACTAGAAGCGGAACTACTCGCTAGAATTCCCAAAGTTCCTAAAGCTCCAAAACCTGCACAAGTGCCAAAACTTTCTAAAGTCTCCAAAACCACATCCGCGCCCAAAAAAACACCTGCACCCAGAAAAGCCATATCCAAAAAGGCTCCAGCACGTCTTAACCGCCCTCTTCAACACGAGAGTTCCGACTCAGAAGATAGTACCGCATCCATGGCCATGGTATCGAATCTCCGCTCTTCTCAGATTCCTCAACCAACACCTGATTCCGAAGAAGAAGGGCCAGGTGAAAGAGTTGACAGAACCAGCGACATGGAAGATCTAGAAGCGAGTGACGATTCGGATCTGGGAAGTCTGGTTGATTTTATCGATCCTACGCAAATCCAAACCCAGATCACCCTTACAGGGACGTCCAACTTTTCATCAAGCCCACCACAGATGGAGAGATGGGATGGAGATGAGAGACAAAAGGGGAGAGGAAAAGGCGGATTGTTGGGAAGGGCATTGGAGAGGGATAAAGCTAAGAATATGTCTTCTGAGAGATCGGTACCTGCGATGACACAAGACAGTAGCGATGATGACTTACCTACCATCGAAGATCTCGTCAGAGGTGATACCGTCACTAAAAAAAGTGTAGATTTCCCATCTAGTAGTGTATTAAGTAGTGGGAAGAAAGCGACGCCGAACATGTTTACGAGGAAGAGGGATGGCGATGTAAGGGGAAGAGGAAACAAGCGGAGAATTGTGGACAGTGACGATAGTGATGAATGAATCTGTAGTGTGTCACTATCATACATACCTACGTCCTCCCTTTTTGGAATTTGCAACGGATTACTTAGCGTTGGAGTTGCCAGGTGTGTTGCTTGGCGTGTTGCTATATATTGGTGGTCATCATGTGTACATGTAATTCTCTGACGATATGTACTGTATACCTACTGGAAGAATGAACATAATTATCAGTGATGATACTTGCCTATTTTTCCCGATGCTTAAGAATTATCGGGAGCCAAGCATGCAATATTATCCAGTCTCTGGTCATGAATTATGTATTACTTTGTGAAAGATTTGAGATGCGATCTTTCCACTACTTCCCTCATACACCCCGAGCCCACCAAAGAATGCAAGTGATGCTCTCAATTGAATCATTTACGTGTACACCCAACTTCTACTCCACTCCAAACTCTAATCTTTCCATCCTCTTCTCTCCCCAATCCACCTTACTACATATACCAGCCCCAGCAGCACTGGCACTTCGATCACTACAGGGAAATATCAGTAAACATCTTCCCAACGAGGCGTTTTCAGAATACATACACGGGCCAACCGTAGCAGCCAACGCCTGTTCACTATCTGCACCGTACGTCGCAACCGCCACAGCAATGGCCAGCTCGAAGTTATTACTTGCCGCCGTGAAACTTTGCGTCGTGGCAACCTTATATCCGAAACCCATCCTCGCACACACAAATAAAGTTAAGAAGAAGATGATCGCAAAGTAAACGATTAGAGGGGCTGCAACTCGTACAACTGAAACTATCTGCTGAATAACATGCTGACCCTGACTTGCGAAAAGGATCAAGATGGTGGCCAAGAGACCCAGCAGAGAGAGAGGCGAGAGGTATTTGAGGAATACAGTGTCGTACCAGGAGGGAGATGCGAGGCTGCGGAGAAGGAAACGTGTGAGGATAGCGGCTGCGAGAGGAATGCCGAGGAAGACTGCTACGCTGGAGGCGATGGTTGAGTAGGAGAACTCGGCAGGGCCTTCGGCGCCTGAGATGACGGAGATGAAAAGCACAGAGAGAGGGGCGAAGAGCACCATTTGCAATAGACTGTTTATGGCCACGAGGATAGCGCAGTACGAAGTTGAGCCGCCGGCTAGACCAGTCCATATTAGGACCTAGGGGGGATTAGTCGACTGAGCTGTAAGCATGAAATGAGAGGAAGGTGAAATACCATGGCAATGCAGCGAGCTATTCCGACAAGTATCAGACCAGATCGAAGCTCTTCTTTGTCGGGTAGGAAGGCCCATGCTAGAGCTAACTATATGTGAGTCCTCGTTAGCTATTTCGTAACAAGGTCAAGAGTAGGTAGGGAGGTTTTGATTACCATCAACAATGGGGCAACAATCCAATTAACGACCAAACTAAATCCGATCTGAATCCAGATATCCTTCTTCTGAAAGACAAGATGTAGGGTTTCGAATTTGACCTTGCAAAGAATTGGATACATCATTGCCAACAAACATACAGCTATATTTTCACTGTTGTATTAGCTTGAAGAGCAAATTGATACATCTTAACCTTTCCTCCGGATTATATGCTCAAGTCAATATCCTCTGCTATCATACTTCACTATGGACCAAGAAGGAAGAAAAGAAGCACGAACCAATCGGCACACTAACACCCACAAACTCTCCCTTTTGCAACGCAGTCCCGACATTTGGCACAAAATATCCCAGCAAGATACCAATAGCCATAGCGAGAAAGATCCATAAAGCTAGGAGTCGATCAAGCCACCCTAAACTTTTGAAAAGGGAAGTTTTTTGGTGATTTGTCTGGAAATCATCCTGAGGTTTAGATGGAACTTGAAGGTGGGAGTTCTTCTCAATGTCTATAGAGTGAGATGGAACATCCGAGGAAGATTTTTGGAATTGGTTGATAGATTCTGGAGCGACAATATCTTCAGAGGCGAGGACTTTAGTCATATTGAATAGACTTGTGTTGGACTAAACGGTTTGAAAATTTTCTTATTGAAAACAGAACTTCTGTTCTTAGAAATATGGCAATTAAAAAAGTTGAGGAAAAGTAACATCTTAGAAAAAGTAAACGGCATACCATAAGAACATCATATTTTATATAAGAAAGCAGTCCTCTTGCTTCGGTTTCTCCCTACACTTTTGGCGAGGATAACTTTGACCAATCAAAGGGTAGGGGTGACATTCATGGAGTGTCGAAGCTAAGTGGGGCTAGGACATGCACATGTTACTTGGCTGTTTGGATAACGCGAGATCGCTGTTCTTCTCGAAAACAGCTACCTATCTACGATATATAAACAGCAATAGCCTTTTAGCATTTGAAATTCTAGGTGATTACTACCTAATTAGATATGTGTGAGCGCAACCTAAGGAGTAGAAACACTGCATTTATGTCCTTTCTTTGTAGTGGAACACCCCTTCATTAGTGTTGACATATGAGCTTCACTGAACAGACTTCACTGCATCATCAATTCTGAAGTGAGAGGCCGGAAGAGGTAGTTGCATGCACCTACCTAGCTATTCATATCAGCAGTGCGGTTGGAGATTGAATCCTTGAGATTCCACAAAACCATGGCAAGAATGGACTTCCGAGACTTTCAGAATTTGACACGATAACTTGCACCAACGGGAAAGACAAAAATCAAAACAATATTCAAATGACTGAGGAAATGACTTGGAGATGGGATCGATGGTGTTTGTTAACCACGAGGCAAGGAACCCCAAAACTTGATATGCTTCATTTCATCATTGTCTAGTTTACAGCGCAAGGTATATTAAAATCATTCGTTTAGTTGACCTGGGTCCCGTATCCCCGAATTTGTTCAGCTATTTGACTGTTAGCACACTATCACGGAGTGTTTAATACTTGAAATCTTACCGAAAGCCCAACTTTGCTTCTCCAATTCTTCGTTCTCCTTCAAATCGATACCCTCCTTTGTGATAACCGCAATCGAATACTTGTCCATACTCCTAGCATCTCTGTAAAACAAGACCTTCATGCTCTCTTTAACTGCCTCTAAAGCCACTTCTTTGGTTAACTTCGCAGCAGCCTCCTCGTCTGGTGCAACCTTTCTTAACAACGGCTGAGCCAAATGCGCACCGAATCCAGTAGCCAAACTTGGAGAAGAGAATGTGGTGCCCAATAAATCGGCGCTCGCCAAGAAAGGTTTGTCATGTTCATCCAACCCTGCAACCAGTAAAGTGTTCCATAAGGGATTGAAATCGGATCGACGCTTGTAAAGGACTTTGGAGAGATATTTGTGGAGATTATGAGCATTGAGGGTGTGACCTGATGCGCCGTATGCTTCTTCGGTATCGAGGGACTGAAGAAGGCGGTCCAGGTATTGCATATCTGATACGTCGCCACCAAATCCAACAACGGATGTATCTGCGAACTTTCGAAGACGTTTTACGTCTGTGAATCGTGCGAGAGAACCATATGATGCTATTGGAATTGTTAGTGAGATGCATTTGGAGCTTATAGTTATGGACTATACCCAAGTTATCTGCTGCGATTACGACACCATCTTTAAACTTTAACGCCACAACCGATGTACCAGTGACGATGGGTGATTGAGTGTGTTGATTTGGTCCATTTTGTTGAAGATATGAAGCATCATATGCGCCATAAACATCGTCTCTAGGCTATTTGAATGTCAGTAATCTGAGTATATCTCACTCATGTTGAGAGTGTATTTATACTTACACGGCCCCAAGCTTGCGGAAGGTGATTCATGATGTTGGAAGGGTTATTGGAATTGAAAGGTTGTTAAGGTATGGTGTGGTATCTTCAAATGTTCATGGGGGTAAAGTTATTGATAGTGTTGGAGCTTGAGGAACCTAAGCTCTCGTTGTTCCAGGCAGAGCTCGGGACGCGCCTTCTGCAACCTGAGGCCAAATATCGGGATATAAGCCCCGAGAGCCAATCTGGAGCACGGAAAGCTAGTAATTACCATCAAAGAAGTTTATTTTATCACTTGTGTGTCGGTATATTCAAATGATCCTTCCGCGTTGAAACCACTCGCAATACAATAATCATGGCAGGTTTAGTAGATTATGGAAGCAGCGATGAGGAGGACTCACTTCAGATTGACAACCCGCAGACTTCTTCCAACGTAAGCTGAGTGTTTTATTTAATGCAATTGAAATTTGGGAGAGTCACTGACATCATAGGCTACAGCCTTCTGGAGATTTAATATCCAACAATTCTACTACAAATATTACAGCAAAAGGTACGCGAACCTTACGGTCGATTTTTAATCTGTAGCACTTCTGACTGCTTGAAAGATGTGCAGCTACATGCGAAAGAGCTTCCATCCACGGAAACCTCACGAACTATTGAACTACCAAGCAATCCAAAACCGAACGCTCCACTCGTTGGACCACAACTGGGACCAGTCGAGGCAACGGGCTACTCAGAATTAGAGGACGCCATGAACGGGGAACGAGACGGAGAACCACAGTCACCATACTCCGCGAATCGAGCTTTGTTACGAGATCTTACCCTTCCAACAGTTCCTAATTACGATATTCCCCCTTCACCCCCAGGCTCACCAGTAGCCAGTACGAATGCGAAATTTAAGCATTTCCTCGAACTTAAAAAGCAGGGTACACATTTCAATGAAAAGCTTGCAAAGTCAGCGGCGCTCAAAAACCCGAGTTTGATGCAGAAGCTCATGGACTTCGCGGATATTGACGAGGCGGAACAATATGCAACAATCCTTCCTCAGAATCTATGGAATCCGGCTGGATTCCCGGAGCATGCTTACAAGGAGGAACTCGCGAAAAGCCAACAAAAAATCTTGAAGGAAAGAGAAGAAAAGAAAGCTCGAGGTCAAAGGGAAGCCCTGGATTTCGTACCTGCAACGGCCTCGGGCGAAAGTCGCAGCGCAATTTCAAATACTAGTAGCATTAATGGGAAGGGACAAAAAAGCACTGCCGAACGAATTATGGCGGGGCTCGATAAGGGCAGGTCCAATCCATCAAACACGCAAGGCGTCAAGAGAAAGACAAGATTCGAGAGTTGAGATTCACGGCCTATTGCGAAGATCCGTTCAAAACTACAACAAGACGTTTCAAGCTTCGACTTGAGAACCAGGTACGACTTTAAGTCTTTGGGTAGAAGATCTGCGATCGATTGAAGGAAACACCTTGGGACACTTGGAACACTCGAGATTTCATCATCATCATAAAGTCCCGGGGTGGAGAGCCTTGGTTGATATCAGATGACAAGAGACTCAGAGACTATGTTTTACAATAGTCCAGCAGACTCATTGGGATTCCTTCTGATATTGTTTATACTACTCGTGTATTCACAAGACCCGAGCATGCACATATATCACGAGATATTGTATTTGACTGACCCCAGATTGAAGGGTAACGATTCAAATTGGAATTTGGATTGAGGCTCTCGGGATATTTGATGATATTGAATGTAGCGAGGGCGAAGAATTAGAAAAAATCTAGCCCTCTGACCTAAATTCCACCTCGAAATAGGTATCTTATTACTCGTGGCTTAAATCTTTACCCCCACTGGCCATATGGCATACATGTATATGATATCCACATTCATTATTAGTCTCAGTTCCACTCAACATGGGGAAACAGAGAGTTTTATACAGAATGAACATGACGTTTGCCCGTGCGTGGAAGCTTACTGATGTTTATGCTATTTTGTACTCGTAGATCATGTTAAAAGTGTTGAAATTGTACGAGGTAGGTGAGTAGTTGGTACGAATACCTAGGTACTGATAGCAATACCATCAATCTCATTGCCAATATCAGTCAATACACGGATCTCTCCTTTCCCCTCTTCGCACCCAAAACACTTAACTAGGTAGACGGTGTGGATTGTTGCCTTGAGAACATTCTCATTTGTGATACTGCCATGCCAATTCACCAGAGATAATATAAAAAATCTAAAAAATAAAATGCCACCCTCTTTGTGACAAGTGAATACTCAAGTAGATCCTCCTCTGCAGCTGGTGGGGTTTATGTGAATACCGGTATATCGATACGATCGACACATTTTTCTATCACTTCTAGGCAGTAAAGGTCCCCAGTTCATTCTACCCCGAGCGGCCGAGCCCATATTCCTAGTGTGGCATAGAGAAGATCTGGAGTACCTAGTCCCTCTGATTACCTATCGAAAAGAATGAATCCAACAATTAATTCCGACTCCCTAATCAAAAGAAAATATACTCCTCGCAAAAAAAATAACTGATAATCGATTTGAATTGCTACTTACACAATAACTTTTATCAAAAATCAAAGCATTTGCAAGATCTGCAGAATCCCAACGCCTCCGCTCACTTCAATCTTTTGACTCTTGCACTTTCTTCGAAATACAGTACTTCAAATCGCATCAAAACTCGAACTGACCTTCAATCTGTGTCAAGATGCCTTCAGAAACAGGCAAAGGCAATTTAAAGCGCGATAGAGTAAGAAAATCGCTCTTTCCTCATAGTTTATGAATTTCGAAAAGGCTGACATATAATCTCAACGTAGGTAGGAACGATCGAAGAGAGCGAATCATACAAGAAGCCGCGCCGATCAGAAAGACACTCACAACCGGGTCATACTCCAATCTCGAATAAGCAGCACCTTCCTTCCCCAGTTACCCATCAAGGCTCTTCTTCTAGTGATAATCTAAGAGATGGCACCGCAACACCACCAGAGGGTCGACCAAGCCAGATCCAGCACCGAACGCCAGAACCAAGTGAACGTTTCTTTAAGGATTCCCAAGCTTTGTCGTCTCCCGCTCGATACTCCCAAGCAAAAACTCAAGAGTTGAGCCAATCACAAAGAGACGCAACCACATTGTCAAGTCAGGTTGAAGATGAGGAAGAGGAAGGTGTTTGGGGATACTTGATGCCTCTCAATTACAAGTATGGAAGACGTCTTGTCTTGAGGAGAAGAAATGCATGTCCGTTGCCAGACAAAGACAGTGATCTTGGAAACCCTCGTAAGGGCAAAGATTTGAATAAGGAAGAAGAAGCCTATGAAGCTACTAAATTCAAAGGCATTGCTTCCGGAGGATACTTGATCGGACGACATCCGGAGTGTGGTAAGTGAAGCCCAGACAATCTGACACAAAAGTGTGGCACTAACAATTTTTCTAGATCTCAACATCGATGATATCAAGGTCTCCAATAGACATTGTCTCATTTTCACCGAAAATCAAGAAGGTCTAAACGTTGCATTTGTTGAGGATCTATCAAGCAATGGTACCTTCATCAAAGAGAGTATGATTGGACGAAATAAGCGTCGCCAACTCGAAGACGGAGATGAAATAGAAGTAGTAAATGATATCAGATTTGTCTTTCGATACCCGAAATTGCGCGAAACCAGCAAATTTTTGCAGAAATACCTACTTCTAGAAAAACTTGGGTCGGGTCATTATGCAACCGTTTACTTATGCGTCGAAAGGGCTACAGGTCAACGTTTCGCTGTCAAAGTCTTTACAAGAAAGCCCGGCGTCGGAGAAAAACAAAGAATTGAAGGTTTGCAGCAAGAAATTGCAATACTAATGGGCGTCAGTCATCCAAACATTCTATGCTTAAAAGATACTTTTGATGAACCTGGCGCAACTTACCTGGTCCTAGAGCTCGCAGCGGAAGGAGAATTGTTTAACTGGATTGTCAAAAAGGGTAAACTTACAGAGCAAGAAACAAGAAAGGTTTTCGTTCAATTGTTTGAAGGCTTGAAGTACTTGGTGAGTGTTTGTCCTAACGTCATTTCATTGCCTCTAGCTAACCAACCATTAATAGCATGAACGTGGTATCGTACACAGAGATATCAAACCAGAGAACATTTTGATGACAGATGAAGATTTGCATGTTAAACTTGCAGACTTTGGTCTCTCAAAAATTATTGGAGAGGCGTCTTTTACGACAACGCTTTGCGGTACCCCAAGCTACGTAGCCCCGGAAATCCTCCAGGACAACAACCATCGAAGATACACTCGTGCAGTTGATATTTGGTCATTAGGAGTTGTTCTATACATATGCCTCTGTGGATTCCCACCCTTTTCCGATGAATTGTATTCCAGGGACAATCCTTATGACCTCAAAGCCCAGATCAAGCTCGGTAGATTTGACTATCCTTCTCCATACTGGGACAGTATCGGGGATCCAGCATTGGATCTCATTGATCACATGTTGACAGTCGACCCGGAGCAGCGCTATAGTGTTGATGAGTGCTTGGCGCATCCATGGATGACTCAGAAGACTCTCAATGTTCATGATAGCACAGACGGTCTAGTCGGTGGACTTGCAGGTCTTGACTTTAGCAAGCGTAAGATCGCAAGAGAGAGAACATTACTCAGCGACATCAACGAGGTCAAGGTTTCCAAGATCATTCACATCAACTCTGACAAAGACCCTGTCAAGGTATACGTCAAAAATCCAAATGCTAAGTCTAATTGTATCAACCAGCCCTCAACTCAACAAGACTCTACGCAAAATGGAACCAAGAATGAAGAAGTCCCAGCAGCTCAACGGGATCCAAATGAGTTCATTGAGATGGGTGGCAAGGGTGATCAAACTCTCTTCGACAACGCCGAAGGTAGCATCTATCCAGAGGATTTGGAGGCAAAGGTCAAATCTCCCGTTAAATCCCACGAGATGAAGGCGCCAGAATCAAAAACCCCAAAATCCAAGACATCAAAGCCCGAGACCCCAAAATCCAAGACGCCAAAGAAGAATGGCAAACAATGAATTCTGGTTGGCGATTTCGTCGATGATGGGATCAACCCTTTCCTGCATAGTTTTACCCTTGTATTATGCCTTTCTTTAACCTTTCCGCCTCTGTTCTGACTAAATTCTTCCTCTACTTGTACATACGTTGGGTGAGGTAGGGTCGGAGAAACTGCTGGGCATGCGGGCGAAATGTCGTTTTTGATGCTCTCGTACCCGTTTAATGATTATGGAATAGCATGCATGTTGGAGCTGTCCACATTGTGGCAGTGGGGGGTCGAAGATTTATTGGGGACATCAAGTATCATACCTACTAGTCATAAATAGATATTGTTAATATACCTTTAAGTTGTCCATTTGTTTGGAATTCCATAAAATTCATTCCTTTGTATTTTGCACCTCTTCAACTTACAAAGGTTGTGGCGGGCACCCTGTAATCCATGCTGATGAATGTTTAAGATTGTCGTTTCAAACATCATATCGTGTAGCACCAAAAAGTCAAATATCTCAACAATGTATTTCATTCCACTGTCTATCAAAAAAGAGAGCTTGTCTGACTATTGACTTCCCTACGCAAATTGAAACTACGCTTTCGCATAAGTAGATATCTAAAGAGAGTCCATTGCATTCATCGCAATAGTAGCTAACTACAGTAGCACATACCATCCCTCCATCAAAAGATCCCAAACCGAGTTTTTAGTGCCCACAATTCGCTAAGTCTCACATCTACGCAAAAATAAATAAAGAAGCACAACACTTGGATGTGTAGTTAGACTTCTTGCCCATCCTTTCTTTTCCTTTCAATGCATCCGAGTCCAGCAGAACACCAAAGCGATAGGGCTTAGTAGCCTTTTATAGCTATGCCATACCGAAAAAACATTTACTCAACGGTAACTGACTTGGCCAAGTTTCTTGGGAAATCGACGTTGAGACCACCGGCAACAGCCAAGTGGTAGGAAATAAGTTGGAGTGGGAGAACGTTGAGGAGACCTTGCAAGCAGTCAATGGTAGCTGGGATCTCAATCTTCTCGGCTTGACTGGTCTGGAATTCCTCATCTCCGGGGTTGCAGATAACAATCGGCTTGCCAGAACGAGCAATGACTATAGACATTAGCATTAGTTATGTAGATAAAAATAATTTGAGCGTGCAAACATACCTTGTTGATAAGCGTTCAGAGACTTAGCAAAAATCTCATCACGAGTAAGAATCATGATGATTGGTAAATTCTCATCAACCAATGCCAAAACACCGTGCTTAAGTTCACCAGACATGACAGCCTCGCAATGGAGGTAAGAAATTTCCTTGATCTTGAGAGCACCCTCCAAAGCAGTGGAATATTGGCTACCTCTACCCAAAAGCAACAAACTCTTTTGGTCCTTGAAGGTTCTGGCACAAAGCTCCTTGATTGGTTGATCGAGCTCTAAGACCTCCTTGATTTGTCCTGAGATCTTTCCAAGTCCATCCATAATGTCCTCGCGTCTCTTCTGTTTCGAGGAACGATCTTCACTCAAGGAGAGAGCAAACATGATCATAGCAATGAATTGAGAAGTGTAGGCCTTGGTAGAAGCAACACCGATTTCGGGACCAGCGTTGACGTGAACACCACAGTGAGTGAGGAGGGAGATGGAGGAACCGACAACATTGACAATACCAACGGTCAACGCACCGCGCTCTAAGCAGTATCGTAGAGCCATCAAGGAATCGGCAGTCTCACCAGATTGAGAAACGAAGACACAAGTATCATCACGGAAGACGGGCGCTTGTCTATCGAGGAAATCCGAGGCCAGCTCGACGGCAATTGGAATTTCAGTCAGCTCTTCGAAAGCACCACGAACCGCCATGCAAGAGTGATAACTAGTACCGCAAGCGATGAATATGATTCTTCTGCAACGTCGGATAGTGGCGATGTATGATCTCAAACCACCGAGTGTGACTGTCTTGTTCTCGACATCCAAGCGTCCTCTCATTGTGTTGATGACTGATTCTGGTTGTTCGAAAATCTCCTTTTGCATGAAATGATCGAATTTGCCCTTCATGATCTCTTGGAGTTCCAACTCAAGAGTTTGAATTGTGCGGACATTGGATGAGCCATCAACCTTGGTGAGTCTGTGGATGTTCAAGGAACCCTCATGGATGTGAGCGATATCATCATCTTCAAGGTACATGACCTTCTTGGTGTGCTCGACGATAGCGGAAGGATCTGAAGAAAGGAAAAACTCGGTTGGCATTGGAGCTCCATCATCAGTCATGAAGGCACGGGATTGGGATCTGTGCAACAAGGACTTGTCTGCTGGAGCAAGAGCATTGCTAGCGGAGAGAAAGTTTCCAACGCTGGATTTCTTCAATGCGGCGTTTTGTGAAGCCTTCTCGGCAGGCAATGGTCCATCCTCAGCGTACTCGACGTCAACAAAATCGACCTTCATGCGCTTCTCTGTTCGTACACCAATAACCAAGGGCGAACCCTTACGTGCAGCAATAACCTCATGTGGGTAGTGTACTGACTTCATCAAGAGACCAAAAGCACCTTGCAATTCCTTAATAACTGCCTTTGCCAAATCTGTGAAACCGATTGTTGGGTGTTGGTCGTAAAGGTATTTTGCAAGCTTGGCAATGCATTCTGTGTCGGTCTCGGTCTCAAACTTGAAGCCCTTTGATGTCAACAGAGTCTTCAACTCCTTGTAATTGGTAATGATACCATTGTGTACGACCGAGAATTGCCAGGAGGGGTCAGATCTGCAAATCTCACATCAGCAATGTATAACAGCCTACAATAGCTTTACGTACCTGTGAGGATGGCAATTAAGACGAGATGGAGGACCGTGAGTAGCCCATCTGGTGTGTGCAATACCGGCGTGGGAATCGAAGACCTTGGTGAGATCTGGCTTCTCCTGCTCGATGAGAGCCTTCAACTTTGCAACTTTGCCGACCTCCTTGAATGCAAAGACTTCATTCTTCTTGTCTCCATCGATGGCGAGACCAGCAGAATCGTAACCACGGTATTCAAGGCGCGAAAGACCTGTAGATTGCAAATGATTAGCTGGCAGATCCCAAAAACTTGATGAAAGGCGTGCGAGTATTGAAAGGGATTGTTGGCTGAAATGGCGGTATATATAACACCTCAGTCAAAAGGAGGGGCAGTTTGTGTATCTTACCATTGACAAGTGTGTCGAGAATGTACTTTCTATCCTTCTCCACCAAGTAATTAATGTATCCGAAGATTCCACTGAGAAGATGGTCAGTCAAATTGTCAAATCTTTATTGTCCTCGTCCTCGAAGGATGGCAGGCATTTCCAATGCACATATACATACCACATTGTTGCAATGAAGGGGGATGTGTTCTATTGGGATCTAGATATTGGTGGGATGTGCAAAAAAGGGTATCGAAAGCAAGAACGATTGTAGATTCAAAGAAAACGAATGAAAAAGAGATGTATGATTTCCTTTCCTTTCCTTTCGTTGAGGGATGTGGATGGTTTTAAGGGGAGGGGAGTAAAAGGGAAGAATGGTGGGTTGGATACTAGGTATTCTTCGTCTGAATGTAAACGTGCACGTTGTCACCCCCACAGCCCTTTGCCTCTCAACCTGTCAAGCCTGCTAACGAAAAGAAAATACGGTAACAACTTGCAAGTGTTTACGAATCTATTACGGTAGCTACTTTGATACGGGGCCACTTGATTGTTGCTGCGGATCTCAAACACATACTAATACGTGACTACGATGCTAGTGGTGAATAACTGGATTTAAGAGCCCTTGAGGCTGCATCTCTCGTACTTTTCAAAAAGAAATCTTACCTTACCAACCCAATCCCGAATAGTCTCACGCCTGGAGCCCGTATCAATACGCCTTTTCTTGTCAATTTTGACCTCAAACTTTTCAGTTCCTTCTTCTTTCCCACCTTCTTCCTCGTTCATGTACCAATGATTGAAGATGCTCAACAGGGGAGCATTCTGCTAAAGCTGTATAAGCCACACAATTGACCCACCTGTTAATCTAAATAAAGCAACATTTCAAGTTCTCCAGGCACAGGGGACTTAATCAGGTACCCAGGGTCGCGGGGGCATAACTCTATCCAGACAAATTTTCTCGACGAAAGCTTCATCATGACGTACAGTCTTGAACTCTGTCCTATGTGTATTGGGGAGTGTGAAGGCAGAGGTTGCAAGTACCGGTACGATATCACATAAGTGGTACAGTATCTCAACGGGGGATTCCACAGTCGAATTCAACCACTGAATCTGAGCTCAATCAATTGTGAGTACCATGATTCAGCCTCGCAAAGAAGAATCGGAGAACCCGTCGTTTTAGGGTTACCAGGCCATCCACCAAATCACACTGTATCACCGCCAGCCAAGCCAGCGACCTGCACGCATTCCTTTTGCGGGACAGCGGCTTCACGTTGTGTGAGGCACTATTACTGTTGGCCATTTATGCAAAATTCGCATCTCTCATCGGCCATTAGGATTCTGAGCTGGGCAGATGTGTTTCCTTTTTGCCGGTCCGAGAAATGGTGTGCTTCGCGCTTCTTCTTCAGGCCACAGCAATCTATATCTGGGTTTTATGTAATTGTAGATTTTCTCTCGGCGAATCAATATATTGATTTCCCTTTTGACCCTCAAACTCCCCGCCAATCAACCCCACAGGAACCAATGTTGAAGATATACCGTACCCTAAAAAACTAACAAGGCCCCTTTTCAAGCGAGCATGGAGCATGGCTTTGTGGGGACAATAAATGGATGCACTCGAACTACGGTTGATTGAAATTAAGAAAAAGAATTTTATTTCATGGCAAGCTGTCCCGATTGTACAGGTTCATGGAATTCCAAAGGAGTTCTTTTTTCATGTGGTATTCTTACAAAGTCGAGCGGTATGCCCAACCATCCCTCAATTATGCGATGCGCCATGCTAAAACGAAATCTATGTAACAATCATAGTTTTTGATATTCCAGCTTGCCTTCCAATTTCTTTGATTCTGCCACTTTACGAACAGCTTTATTGAAATCATCCTGGTTGACGGCATCTCTGTAATCCTTGATAGCAAATAAACCACTAGAAAAGTTAGAAAAGTTTTATGCGTAATGTGCTGAGGGAATACATACGCTTCTGTGACAACATTTCGTAAATCTGCACCGTTCAAACCATCACTCATCTTTACCACACTTTCAAAGTCGACCTCGCCATCAATAACAACGCTGGAAGCATGAATCTTCATGATTTCCAATCGTCCGACCTCATTTGGCAGGGGAATCTCGATCTTCCTGTCGAGACGACCAGCTCTGAGAAGCGCAGGATCAAGGGTATCTGGACGGTTAGTAGCCATGATAATCTTTGTCTTTCCCAAGTAATCGAAACCATCGAGTTGATTCAACAGTTCCATCAAGGTTCTCTGAATTTCACGATCTGCCGAAGTTCCCTCCGAAAATCTACGTCCTCCAATGGCATCAATTTCGTCCATGAAGATAATACATGGCTCGTGTTCCTTGGCATAACCAAACATCTCTCTGATCAAACGTGCAGATTCTCCAATGTACTTATCGACGATAGCAGATGAGACAACTACATCACATTAGTATGACTGTGAAAATGATGTCAAGCAAAACTCCCACCCTTTAAAAAGTTTGTCTCCAAACTGCTTGCAACAGCTCTTGCTAACAAGGTCTTTCCAGTTCCTGGAGGTCCATATAACAAAACACCCTTCGGAGGCTTGATACCAACTCGCAAAAACAATTCCGGATTTTTGAGTGGCAGTTCGATAACTTCTCGCAATTCTCTAATCTGTTCATTCAACCCACCAATTCCACCGAAGCTCACTTGTCCTGGATCTTCCAAAGACATGTTATAAACAAGTGGATCGACTTCTCGAGGCAACATTCGCATAATTGTGAGAGTAGTCATGTCGAGTGCTACACGGGTTCCTTGCTTCAACTTCAGCTTATCAACTTTCGACCTGCAGCCAACAACGTATCTGGGTCCAGATGATGCTTTGACGATGACTAGAAGACTAATGTTAGGAATGTTGGATTTGCATTGCCGCTGGCCTACTCACATCTCTCATCATCAAGTTGTTTCAAAACCTCGCCGATAATTTGTCCAACACTTTGTAGAGCTTTGATATTGTCCTCTGTATGGTCGAAGTCCTTCTGCAATCCCTTAATTTCTAACCGTAAAGCCTTGAGCTTCGCCTCCCATTCTCTAGACTCCAATAACTTTTCCCTGAATGTGTTCAACGCACGTTCGCGCTCCATAACGCCGTCGGTAGCCATCTCGAATGTCGCAAGGAGTTCGATAGTATTTATGGGATATTTTATTAGGTAGAGGTGATTGAATAATCGAGCATGTAATACGGGCGTTGTTTTCAGATTTGCGTGGAAGGTGTGTATGATGAAAGTGAAGGTATCAAGATGGCTTAACTAAGTTGCATGCGAAGCTCTTGTTGCCTGTGGATCGATTGACCTCCAAAATATTGATGCCTGAGGTAAAAAAAAAAAAAAGATCAATATTAGTCAGGCCGCACTTGCTCTAAGTGAACCAATGATATCAATGCTTAATTTATACAACATTCAAATCAACCTCAACCTCACAATTTACAACTCAATATGTTGTCTACGAAGTACATTTTGTTGATTGATCATTGCATCGCTCTGTTTACCTGCACAGATTCACTACCAAGTGATACATATACGGGACTTCGAGGTAGCCCAGTTCTCCGGCCTTCAATTCCATCACAAGTGTGCCAAATCACCTAGGTACCTACCCAAAGCTTCTCAACATCACTTACAAGTAGGTATCAAGTACTGCACTTAGAGATATAGAGCACTCAAATTCGTAGAAGATACGATTCCACCTTCACATACCAACAAGATGAAAGGGGACTTTGCATCTTTTTTGGTCCTTTTCCAACCTCAAGGTTTCGACTGTGATGACAGTGGTGAAGATTATGATGTGATCATTTAGGACATGTTCCATTACTACCTATCTTTCATGCCATACACGTACAGTGAATATCAATCACCTTGGTAGGTAGGTACATTGTTCGTCTTTTAGACTCAAGACCCAAGAGCTCTCACGAAACTTTCTTCAAGCCGGGTCCGGCCACCGGAAAGGCGAGATAGTACGACCAAAGCTCGCAAAGCTGCAATCTAGACATGGCATTGGCTTGAGATACTACTCCGTAGACACACGTAGCCATTATTAAGTTTGAAAGTAGTAACAATCCGGCTCTCGTCTGTCAGTAATGGTTGAGATCTAAAGAGTGCGGGACGTGCCATTCCCAAACATCGTTGGCGTTAGTTTAGTAGGTCTGACTTGTACTTGGATGTTTCAAACTTTCAACAAACAGCTTCCAAGAGAGTCTCCAAGTTCAACATAATTCCACTTTATATACCTACACTTTGATACATTTCCACCCAAAATTTGCATAAAGTTGTGTCCAAAGGGAGGTGTACGATAGGTACTCCGTACATTACTGTTATCCAATCGAGCCAGTCAAGACTTCGGCGTAACTCACTTACTAAGAGTAACTCCGGTCAGCAGGGATTATAGGCTGGTACGGGAAGGGACGACGCATTGGCACGTTTGGTGGGGCGAGGGGTTGAAAAAGATCTCGTTCTTCTCTGTGACTCCAACTTCTTGATCTTCACTTTCTCACAATCATATCTCTCTTTTCCCAAAGTCACAATAAATTTCAAGGTAAGATTATTCTGATGATATCCCCCTTCGACGGTTGTTGGCAGCTGGGTATCTACGTACGATGCAGAGCTTCATTTCTATCTCTTGATTAAAGTGAATCAACAAGTAGAGAAATAAGCTATAAGCTGAAGCTCGAGTTGGTGCTATCACCCCACCATCCTCCTCCATACCGATATTTTCTTCTTCAATCTCCGCCATTTGTATCAGCACTTTTTATCATTTGTACAATTTGATCAAGACGCCCAAATACTAACGATAACTCCTCAGCAGAAAGTCAAAATGGCTATCACTAAGATTCACGCACGTTCCGTCTACGATTCTCGTGGAAACCCAACCGTCGAGGTTGACGTTGTCACTGAGACTGGTCTTCACCGTGCCATTGTTCCATCTGGTGCTTCCACCGGTACGTAAATCGCTCCAAACGCTTGAAACCCACAAGGCTGATCGGATGGCACTTCAGGTCAACACGAAGCCGTTGAGCTCCGTGATGGAGATAAGGACAAGTGGGCTGGAAAGGGTGTTACCAAGGCTGTCGCCAACGTCAATGATATCATTGGCCCAGCTCTTATCAAGGAGAACATTGATGTCAAGGATCAATCCAAGATCGATGAGTTCTTGAACAGCCTCGATGGTACCCCAAACAAGGGCAAGTTGGGTGCCAATGCCATTCTTGGTGTTTCTTTGGCTGTTGCCAAGGCCGGAGCTGCTGAGAAGGTCAGTCACAGTATATGCTCACAATCGTTTGCTTGCCTAATTCTCAATAGGGTATCCCACTTTACGCTCACGTTTCCGATCTTGCCGGAACTAAGAAGCCTTACGTTCTCCCTGTCCCATTCATGAACGTTCTTAACGGAGGGTAAGCAATCTAGCAGTTCTGAGGATCGTAGATTAGTTCGCTGACAACGCATAGTTCCCACGCTGGTGGACGTTTGGCATTCCAAGAGTTCATGATCGTCCCTTCGTAAGTTGCTACTTGCACATTCCACATACAATAAATCATACGCTAATACAGTCTGCAGTGCTGCCCCATCTTTCACCGAAGCTCTTAGACAAGGTGCTGAGGTTTACCAAAAGCTCAAGTCTCTCGCCAAGAAGAAGTACGGTCAATCCGCTGGTAATGTCGGAGACGAGGGTGGTGTTGCACCAGATATTCAAACTGCCGAGGAGGCTCTTGAGCTCATCACCGAGTCTATCGAGGCTGCTGGTTACACCGGAAAGATGAACATCGCCATGGACGTTGCCTCCAGCGAGTTTTACAAGGAGGATGCCAAGAAGTACGACTTGGACTTCAAGAACCCCGAGAGTGACCCAACCAAGTGGATCACCTACACTGAGCTTGCCGATCAATACAAGAACCTCGCCAAGAAGTACCCAATCGTCAGCATTGAGGATCCATTCGCTGAAGATGACTGGGAGGCCTGGAGCTACTTCTACAAGTCCTCCGATTTCCAAATTGTCGGTGATGACTTGACTGTCACCAACCCAATCAGAATCAAGAAGGCCATTGAACTCAAGTCTTGCAATGCTCTCTTGTTGAAGGTCAACCAAATTGGTACTCTTACCGAGTCCATCCAAGCCGCCAAGGACTCCTTCGCTGCCGGATGGGGTGTTATGGTTTCTCACCGCTCCGGAGAGACTGAGGATGTCACCATTGCCGACATCGTTGTTGGTCTCCGTGCTGGTCAAATTAAGACTGGTGCCCCAGCTAGATCTGAGCGTTTGGCCAAGTTGAACCAGATCTTGAGAATCGAGGAGGAGCTCGGTGATAAGGCTGTTTATGCTGGAGAGAGCTTCAGAACTGCCGTCAATTTGTAAACGACCTGAAGATACTTTGACAAAAGTAAACTGGGTAGGTAACTGTGTTATGCGGGATGAGCGATACCATAGCCAGAGTAATGATGAATGATACCTAAAAATGAGAAACAATTTGACCAAAATACTTATATATTGTGTTGTGGCTGTAACGGCGTTATTATTACCTTATAAATGCAACCAATTGTTTCCCTTACTATAAAGAAAACGGTACTGTTTTGTTACTATTGTACATATTGCAGTCTGTGGATGTGGATGGAAAGGTTAAAATTGGTAGATGAGCTAACACATTTGTAACTGTACAAGGTTAATCAATTGGGGACCAATCAAGATTACTAGGTACAGTCTGTTCCGATCGGTCTAACTTACAACGACTGGCAGTGGGTACTTGCCTGTGAACAAGTGCGGGCGCAAACCTAAAGACAAACTTCCAAAATCCCTCTTCCTCAATATTTTCCTTTCCACCACCACAACACATAGTGAAGACTATCACAGCGAGGCTTTTGAGACTCCAGGCCCATTAATCGGAATAGTCAAACCAGAATCAATAAAAAAGGTCTACTCACCGGAAATCTAGTCTTGAAAATGCCTGACAAGTGGGGTAAGTGGCAGAATATTTTATTTTTTCCAAGGCGTGTTCCGCGCGGAATGTCTCATAGAATAACGAGCACTTTGAAGGTTTGGTTGGAAGATCTACCGCCATGCAAATGCACAAAAAAAGCACTTTAAGCTGACCGCTACTCTACCAAATAGATGAGGAATCCTCCGGAGAGGAATCATCGGAGCCAACACCCGCACAAACAGCCGTTTCGAACCGAAGAAAGTTTGATGATGAAGAGGATGACGATGAAGTCTTAGATTCCTGGAGTGCCGCCGAAGATTCTGAAGTTGAGCGCGAGAAGGCAAAGGTTGAAGCCGAGCGAAAGGCCAAGGCTGATGCATTGGCTGCTGCGAACAAGAAGTCAAAGGCTCAGCGTGTTGCCGAAAAGCAGGCCGAGAGAGCACGACAACTGGCAGAAGGTAGCGATGAGAGCAGTGAAGAGGATGAGGCTACAAGAAGAGAACGCCTCAGACGAACTGAACAAGAATCTGATTTGAAGCACGCTGAGGATCTCTTTGGCAACATTGGAATCAACTCTCGCAAGTCTACAAGTGCCGCGAACGCAGTGCAAATTGATGAAAAGAACCCTGCCGCGACGATCGATTTGACAACTCTCCCACTTTTCGATCCTAGAACCAAGCAGCAGTTTGAGAAGCTCCGCGAAACTCTTGTCCCTCTTATTGCCAACAATGTCAAGAAAGCACAGTACATCATCTTCTTACAAGAGTTCACTAAGCAAATCTCCAAAGAACTTCCAAGTGATCAAATCAAGAAGATCGCCAGTACACTGACGGCTTTGAGTAACGAGAAGTTGAAAGAGGAGAAGGCAGCTGAAAAGGGAGGAAAGAAGTCCAAAGCACAGAAAACTAAGACTACCTTAAATGCAAGCAGGGACACTATGGGCAGCAAAGATACCCAGGCCTATGATGATGATTTTGGAGAGTAAGTTTGTTACCCTTTCTTCCACGAAACAACTACTGACGGGTTGCAGTGATGATTTTATGTGAAAGAGCTTCAGTTATAGTTATCATAACTCAGTCTCTCCAGCATCCATCAAAACTGAGAATACATCCCCAATCGAATTTTACGCCGTCCTACTCAGGTACAAAAGTATTACTTGTGTCTGGCGAGCCCCATACACTGCTGCATATACAAAGCCCG